CCACTCGGCCGGCCCTGTTATTGGTATATATTGAGTATGACAATTTTAATAGTTTTTCCGTTTCTTAAAATGTGTATAAATTTTTTTTGGCACCCTCTGTATATTATATAATTATGCAGGCCCCAATGAACACACTGCAGTTGTGGCAGGCCCTCTGGCCCCATGGGGGAATTCCTATCATGTTTGCACTCGAGGAAATCCATGAAGCAGTCTCACTTTCACCAAGAATGGTCTCATCAACTAGACAATTCCCATACTCACTGTAGCTCATGTTCAACGTGTAGCCTGTCACTTACTCCTCACAGGATCACTGCAGAAGGGCCTGGACTCCACCCTGTGTCCTCAGGGGCCCACTGCCCTGAATAAGCTCAGCTAGGGGCCGAGCCCTGAGCAGATCTTCTGATCTCACTTCAACCAGTGCACAGACAGTAACAGCGTGCTTGTTCCCTTTCTCCTAAAACACTGTGCACTCATTTCCAGGGAGGAAACAAGGCAGCTCCTCTTCCTAGCTTAGGATCGCCCTGACAGGCCTGCCCCAATATGGCATTTCCAACAGCGCTGGTGCCCTCACTGGGTTAGGAGGTGTGGAAGGTTCTGACAACAGGGAAGCCCCTTTGCAGAGCACAGCATGCCCAGGGAATCTGGAAGGGCACTTGTGGGAGAGAATGGAGGGGAGCGTGAATGTGAAAACTCAGTCAGGGACAGAAAACTACTGTAAAGGGTGGAGTTGAGAAAGAGACAGAGAAGGTCGCTGTGTGCTGCAGATCTTGAAGAAACACTGGCTGTGGGGGAGGGGTAGAAAGCACTGCCAAGGAGCAAGGCTGTGAAGCCTGGCCACTCCCTGGAGGCTGCTAGGAGACATCATGGTGGGCATGTGGCCAGGAAAGGCACCTACAGGGCCATTCGCCCAGGACTCACCCAAGGTAAAGCCTCTGTAGAGCTGCAGGTAGGCAGTGAAGAGGCGGGCCAGGCAGGTCAGAATCTTGCCACTGGTCTCCCCTCCGTAGATCTCATAGCAGCAGTGAACCAGGCCGTAGGTGGAGCTGCCATAGTGTGCTTTGTCCAGTACCCCACAGAGCAGCTCCCCGTGCCTGATGATCACCTGCAGAGGGGAAGGCCGCCATTGCTGGACCGGAGGTGATGTCCCCTGTGTAAGCCAGCCCTACCCTTTACCCAATAAGGTTTGATTAACCTTATTGTGTCTGTCCCTCCACTGCAACCTGCCTCAGGTCCTCGATGGGAAGAGGCAGGGTATAAATGGAAGCAATTTTTATTTTTTTTTAAATAAAGGAGGTGAACACATATAGACCATTAAAAGTTTTTTCCCCCCCAAGGACTGTCACACACACACACACACCACACACACACACATTTTAGTGTGTTCATATGTCCTCCTACTCCCCCGCACCCACCCATGCTGACTCAAGGTCAGGTACCCTTGACTTCTAAATGGAAATGAGAACATTTAGAGTCTAAACTTCATAACCGTGACCTGGGCCTAGGTACTCCCTCACCTGTACCGCGGGAGTAAGAACAACAAAACCTTTCTAACGTCCTTTAAGGACTGAATTTATACTTTTACAAAGTGGGATTAATGAATCAGAAACTAATTAAAAGAAGGGTTTCTGGTTGTAAAATGTAGCATGCATTTAGCCTATGATCTACAAAGGGAAAGAAAAGTGGCAGCTGCAAACCTATTGGAATGTCTGTTAGAGCTGGTGACAAAGCACTTGTGAGCTGGGAACTTGAGGATACTCCCCCACCAAGAACACGCAGAGGCCTTGGAAATCTTTAGTGGAGACACAGTATTGCTCTCTTGCAGCAGCACTGGGCCCAGGTATCACTGCCCTGGGCCTGGCCCTGTGAGAGCTGGTTCCTAAAGCACGGAGCAGGGAGGAATGGAACCTCACAGCAGTTCCCTGATCTTCAGCCACTCAGGGCTCAAAGGAAAACGCAGGCTCTGTATTTCTAAGCTTTGCAGAGTCAAGTCCAGAGGCCTTCTGCTACAGAAACCTTCCCAAGGTGGTTGCAAGTTTTATACTCAGGGCCAAATGCTAGCAGTCAAGGTTGACCCTTTCTAAAACCAAATGTTGACACCAACTTGGACACTAACAACTCCTTCTCTTATGAGCTACAACATCTGTTTCTGTGCACATGCCTCCATTTCTTTGTCTCTGTTTTGAATCAATTTGTCTAAATCGGGGACTCGCAGACTCCAACTGAAACAACTGGGCAGCCATACCTGGGACTCGCACATGGAGTCTGGATTAAAACCGGGGACAGGCCGAGGAGACTCCTTCACCCAGGCTTTCCAGCTGATCTTTGCCTTCCCCAATAAATTCAGTGGGATGTGCTCCTCTGGGATGATGTTTATGAGCAGCGTTGACACAACCTGGAAAGAAAAAGCAGACAAAGTTGACAGCAAGAAGAAAAGATGAGAAGTTTCCTTTTAGGATCGCTTGTTCCTGTTCATCCTGAAAAGCCAGACGACTGACTTCATTCTGATGATCTATAGGGAAAGCAAGAAAAACAGACAGCTCCACCATGGTGAGACATGTTGATCTCTGCTCTTACTGTCCTACTTACATGACTTAGGAGGAAGCTTAGGAGCAGCAACAAACATACACCACTAAGAACTTCACTGGGACTTTTAGTCCCTAAAATAATTCTTGTTAAAGTGAATAATCCCCTAGACCTGAAAAACAACATCAAGTTCCTGAATAGACCAAAGGAAGGAGAGGGGGAAAAAAGCAAACTGCTGTGGGGGTCACAGTAAAAAGATTCGAGTGGTAAAAACACAAATAAGGACAGCAGGGCCAAGAGAGATGGTAGGGCTCATAACGCAGCCTTCTGCCAGGAGAAGTCAGCCCGACACGACGTCAGTCCCAGGACTGAGGCAGAGGTTGAAGAACGCTCCTCAGAGCATCCTACCCTGTCTTCAGGCCACATCAAAATCGGTGAAAATTATTACACACAGTCAATAATGTCCTCCCACAGAACAGCTCTGACTTCCTGGTGGGCACCAAGGAAGGAAAGCATGCAAAGACTAGAAACGGAGAGCTTTCCCTCAGAGGTGCTCCACAGAGGAGGCCTGAGGCATCCGTCAGAGAAGCAGACTGTGGGGAAGCTTCGGGGATGAGGGTCCGCTCCACCACTGACTGGCCATGTGCTGTGGGGAAACGAGCGCACTCGCTTAGCCCGAGCATTGCTCATTGGTAGAGTACAGGTACGTCTCAGCCATTCATTCAGCAATTATACATCGAGTGCTTGCAATGAGCCAGTGCTGGGAAGAGCTGTGGATAAAATATAGTCTTCTGCCTTCACTGGAGCCTCCATTCCTGAGGGGGAACCATGCTTTGAAGGAAAGTGAAGCAGGGAAGGAGGAACCAGAGCAGAGCGGGGAGAGGAGGTATTCAGGATTTTAAGTAAGATGGGCAGAGGAGGCCTCGCACCAAGAAGGCAGTGAGGAAGGGAGCCCCGCAGAGGTCAGAGCGTGCATTTCTGGCAGAGGCTTTTACTCTGAGTGAGAAGGAATGCTATTTGGTGGATTTTGATCACAGGAGTGACAATGCTCTGATTGAGCTTTCAATAGGATCACTTGTTCCAAATATATTCCTGGTCTAGACTTTGAGGCTAAATGACACAGAATAAGTCTCCTAAGTGACACCGACTAGAAGGACTAGCATTTCAGAAGTGGTTATTAAAGCGACCTGAGTGGGGAAGCACCATGGAACAGGGACTGTGTGACGCACGTCACAGGAAGTGATAGGTGACTATTTGGCAACCTGATGGCTTCCACACAATTAGCTTTTACAGGGCTAACACCAGAAATACATTTTTGTGACTGGAATTAATTATGGCTACTGAAAGGCCAGGAAGTCCATCTCCTGCCCCAAGTGGCCCATCAGTGTGGCCAAGAGAGGCAACTTCTCAAGCAGCTGCTTCATAGAGAACCCAAGTGGGGGCAGTTGAACCTGGGGATAACCATAGGTCAGTTCCAAAGAGGCCAAAAGCATACATTCCCAGAGATGTAGCAGGCAGCGGGGCAGACAGGCCAGTGTAACAGGCCCCAGGGCTGAGGAGGGGCTGGGAGCCATCAGCTGGCATCGACAGCTCTTTGTATGGCAGGCCCCACGAAGTAGGCAGGGATGCTATACACGCACAATGAGGTCAGGGCAGTTAGGAGAGCCGCTGCCTTTTTACGCATGTGTGCCAGGAGCAGGGGGACAATTGGCAAGAGCATCTTTTTAAAAAGCAGACAATACTGTTATTTCATCAGCAGATGACCAGGAAGGTCATGACCCAGGCTCTCCATAAGGCCAGCACTGCCAGGTGAGGGAGTCAAGGCAGGAGGGCGAGACTTCCCCAGGATGCTGACCACAGGCTGCACCTCAACCAAAGTGCCACATGTGCAGTGGGGACGGCCAGGCTGGGCACAGCAAGGATAGGAAAAGTAACAGAAACACATGTATCCAACCCTCCGAGGACAGGGAAATATGACCTGCCATCTCATCTATAAAAGCATCTGACAAATTCCCAACACCCTTTCATGATAAAAACACTCAACTGGATAGCAGAAAAAAATGTCATCAACCTAATAAAGGGAAGGCATCTATGAAAAACCCACAATGAACATGCTCAATGATCAAGACTGGATGCTTTCTGCCTAAGATCAGGAACAAGACAAGAATGTCTGTTCTCACTACTCCTATTCGACAATGTACCAGGTTCTATCCAGGACAGTGAGGCAAGAAAAGAAATAGAAGGCATCCAGATTGGAGCGGAAGAAGTAAAACTACCACTATTTGCAGATGACATGATCTTATATATAGAAAATCCTAAAGAATCCACAAAAAGTTATTAGAGCTAGTTTATGACTTCAGCAAACCCGAAGGATACAAGATTAACAACAACAAAAAATCAACTATTTCTTTACATCAACAATGAACAATCTGAAAATGAAATTAAGAAAACAACTGCATTTATGTATGATAGCACTGAAAAGAATAAAATATTCAGGAATAAATTTAACCAAAGAAGTGTAAAACTTGTATGTTGAAAACGGCAACACCTGTTAAAAAAAAATTAAAGAAAATCTAAATAAATGCAAAGACTCTTAGTTATATAGCCAAGAGAATTGAAAACACATGGTCACACAAAAACTGGTACACAAATATTCATTGTAGTTTTATTTGTAATAGCCCAAAAGGGAAAGCAACGCAAATTACTCTTTTATCAACTGACAAATAAAATGTGGTCTATCCATGCAGTGGAATATTATTCAGCCACGAAAAGGGATGAAGTACTGTTCACGCTACAACACGAATGAATCTTGAAAACATTATATTAAGTAAAAGAAGCAAGTCACAAAAGGCTACATATTGTATGACTCCATTTATATGAAATGTCCCAAAAAGGCAAATCCATAGAGACAGAAAGTTATTGCCAGGGGCTGAGGGAGGGAAGAACTGGGATTGACTGTTAATAGGTACAGAGTTTCTTTTAAAGGTGATGAAAATATTCTGGCATTAGCTAGTGGTGATTACTGTACAACACAGTAAATATTCTAAAAAAGAATCACTGAATTATACACTTTTTAAAAATGGTAAATTACATTAAATATGAATTATATCTCAACTAGAAAAACAAGAGTCAGATGGGATGATTTAAAGTCTCTTTCTGCACTAACATTCTCGAAGTATACAATGTACTTTCTGGTCATAAACTATTATGCTAGGGAGAAAAGATCATTTGCAACATTCTCTTAAATTGTAAAGGTAGCAGTATCTATGAGAATTACAATTTAAAAAATTGTTTTTCTTACTTTGCCACAGAGTCTTTATTCCCAAAAGAATAATGGATCTTGAGTACAAAATAACTTCGGAAATTCATTTGTGTTTAGTTATCAATATATGTTAACAATGCTCTGGTAATATTCAGTTTTTCAGAAAAAAGATAAAATTATATTATGGTACCATGTCCTGGCCTACCAGAACTCCATGGACTTAAATAAATTAACTTTACTCATACCTTTTATAACTTGGCATGCAGAGCTGTTTCAAAATTTTTTGTTTTGCCTCTCCTTATTGAAGGCTATAAATAGCTACGGTGCTAGAATTTTATGTGTGAGATTTTTTTTTCTCAAACAGTAACTATACTTCTACATTCACAGATGCATTTCTTTTTTGGTAGCCCAAATCACGAGTCATAATCTCAAGGCTGCGAAGCTAATAATTCTTCAGTTAATTTGTACTGTTCCTAGAATATCTCAAAGGGAGCTCCTTTGTATGTAGCCACACACTCATCATTCCTCAGGCTGGATCTGTTCCCAAATCTTCTTTTTAGGATTCAGCTCCTTGTCAAGCTCTCCAGGAAAACCATCAAAAGTAATTCTGTCTCCAGAGCAGAGCCATCAGGAGACGCAAGGGTTTCAGCTTCTTCAGGTGGACTAGTCTAGCACATCAGCATTGCTTGAGATAGTACTCCTCTCATCTTTATAGGTTTTAGGTTACGAAGTGAAATCACCATGCGATTTTGCATCAGTTCAAGAGGAACATGGTTCACCAGGCCACTGACAACTATTCTTGGGGCTGCTCCTCCAACACCTGCCTCTTCTATACAGAACCTGCATCAGGATGTCTTCTGACAGTGATGACACAACCAATTCGAAGGCCTAGTCGGGAAACACCTATTGGCTTAGTCAGCACTTCCTGCTATTGATGATTGTTTTTCTCCTTTTTCTCTGCTTTCTTTTTAAGTTTCTCCTTCCTTCACCTTCTTTTCTCCTCCTTCTCCCTCCCCGTCCTCTTCCTTTTATCTGTTCTTTGGCATCAACAGATACGGTTATTATTTGTATAGACCGTATCAAATTTTCAGAAACCGTGGAATTAGCTTGCAGTGGAGTACCAGATGAAAATAGCATTTGCTTCATTCCATTTTTAATTTCTGCCTGAATTAGCTCTTGCTTCAATTCTTCAATTTTTTTCCTTCAATTTAGCATTTTCAACTTGAAGTTTCTTCTTTCAAAAAACAATTTTGCAGGCAACTTGCTGCTTACAATATTCAATAATTTGATCTGCCTCTACACCCTTCTGTTCCAGTCTCGTCAGCATCATTGGTTGTCATTTTTGCCAAGAAATGGCATAAAGTTATGAACTGGCAGACAGGGGTCCTAATTAAAATTTTTTTATACTCAGCCTGTATTGAACTTTAAGAAATGTTTTGTGTAAATATTAAATGGATTTCTTTTTTAAAGTTTTTAAATGTGTATACCCTTTGACCCAGCAATTACACTTCTAGAAAGTTGTCTAAAATATGTATTAATGAAAGTACACTGGTAGAAATACAAGTGGGTGCTCAGCATTAGTGAGAATAGTAAAGACTAGGTAACAA